CATCATCTCTTCCCATGCTAAACACATTCCAACCATCAAAACCATGCCAGGACACCTCGTTTCTCTAACCCTAACCCTACCCCGGTTCACTCCCCTAACCCTAATTGAGGGGTCAAGTTCCATTGAAAACAATGCGATTTTGAAAAAGCCCTCCTTGAGTAGCTTTTTCTGCACCGCTCATCATCTCTTCCCATGCTAAACACGTTCCAACCACCAAAACCATGCCAGGACACCTCGTTTCTCTCACCCTAGCCCTACCCTGGTTGACACCCCTAACCCCAATATTGTTTTTATTTAAATAAACAATTTCAACCTAAACAAAAAAAATTCAACCTAATATATAGTTAAAGCTCCTTTGAAAACAATGCGATTTTGAAAAAGCCGTCCTTGAGTAGCTTTTTCTGCACCGCTCATCATCTCTTCCCATGCTAAACACGTTCCAACCATCAAAACCAAGCCAGGACACCTCATTTCTCTAACCCTAACCCTACCCTGGTTCACTCCCCTGACCCTAATAGAGGGGTAAAGCTCCATTGAAAACAATGTGATTTTGAAAAAGCCCTCGAGTAGCTTTTTCTGCACCGCTCATCATCTCTTCCCACGCTAAACACATTCCAACCATCAAAACCATGCTAGGACACCTCGTTTCTCTAACCCTTACCCTACCCTGGTTCACACCCCTAACCCTAATATAGCGGTCATGTTCCATTGAAAACAATGCGATTTTGAAAAAGCCTTCCTCGAGTGGCGTTTTCTGCACCCCTCATCATCTCTTCCCACGCTAAACACATTCCAACCATCAAAACCATGCCAGGACACCTCGTTTCCCTAACCCTAACCCTACCCTGGGGCGCTCCCCTAACCCTAATATAGGGGTCCAGTTCCTTTGAAAGCAATGCGATTTTGAAAAAGCCTTCCTCGAGTAGCCTTTTCTGCACCGCTCATCATCTCTTCCCATGCTAAACACATTCCAACCATCAAAACCATGCCAGGATACCTCATTTCTCTAGCCCTAACCCTACCCTGGGGCACTACCCTAACCCTAATATAGGGGTATAGCTCCATTGAAAACAATGCGATTTTGAAAAAGCCTTCCTCGAGTGGCATTTTCTGCACCACTCATCA